TGTCACCGGCTTCCGGGTAATTGTGATGACACGTCAGCACGGCAGGAGCACAGAATGAAGTTTCTTTGTTTGTTTGGTTTTCTCCTTTTCCTTAATGATCGGTGGGATCCAGAACAGTGGCAAAATACTGAAAGCACGAGGGATTAAACGGCCTCGGACTGACTTTGTTACTGGTCGATAGAACGGAATATGCAGACGTAGTAGCAGCAGCTGTTTCTGTTACGCTGTCTGCTGAGACACTGACATTTTCAAACTGGAGCTAGGAGTCAGATTGAACAGCGGACCAATCAGGTAAGTGCATGTGTTAAATGGGCGTAAAGAAGGCGTGTCTTGAGCTGTGAAGAAGCAGGAGGGTTTATGAATAACGGTGCAGCCAGCTCTGTGCAACAAGCAGGTTGTCACACAGTTTCTTAAAGGCATAGAGGACGATCTTTTGTTTCCAGGTTCATCATTTAAATAAGTGGTCTGTCATGATCTGGCCTATTCGCTCTCCGTTAAGTGGTTATTTCTTTCACCTGTCGTTTTCCCTCCCTGCCTCAATTATAATTTATTCCTCTCACCTGTTTTCTCTGGGTTATATTCAGTTTAGCCTGATCGTTCAGTGCCAGATCATTATTTGTCTTTCTGTTAGCCTGTCTGTTATTTTGATTCCTTGGTTCATGTTTTGGATCCTAGCAGCCAGTGGAAAGAGTTTTTTGTGTTTGTCTTGTCTCCTGATCGTCCGCTATTCCTCCCCCGTGGAGTCCTCAGGGTTTTTGGCTCATTATGGGGGGAGGTTCAGTTTTTATTCCAGTAGGCCTGGCTCCAAGGAGGAGACTAGTTTAAAGGTCCTGCATTAAGTTCTGGTTCCTGTCCTGTCTCTGCTACCCTCTTCCACTGAGCCTGCCTGTCTGCACCTGATCCTTTCTGCTCCTGTGCGTGACCACCTGGTCATGCTTCCAGTCCCAGTCAGACTCTAAACCTGCCTGGGAGTTTGTGGATGCCTGGAAGCCTGGATCCTGCCACCTGTCTGTTCCAGCCTGATCTGGATCCTGTTCTGTCTGTTCCTGTCTGTTCTGAATTCCTGACCAGGATCGGCTTCCTGCAAGAGCTCTGGAACTGCAGCACTGAGGACATTCTTGGACTGGACTGTTAAACCAGGTAAGTGACCAACTCAGATAATCATCTTTTTTCAGATGATTGTGGTCACTTACCTGCGTTTCTCCCACAAAGTGTCAGAGATTGGGCGGTGCCCTGCCCCACTTCTGCAGTATCCGCGAGCCTCAGCTCCACTTTAGTTTTTGTTTTATTTAATAAACGTTTTAAACTTTCCTACTAACTGTCTCTCCTTGAATACTGGGTCCATCTGTCCTCGCTTCATGACATGGACCTCATAATTGTCAATCATTCTGGGGATATGTTTAAGAAAGGCCGTCCTATGTGCTTGTCCCGTTAGCTATCTTTTTCTGTGCAATCTCACTTGCAGGCATGTATATGTGGTGAGCTACAGTTTCAGACAGTCATTGAAGCTCCCCCTTTTCACTGCGGTTCTTTGAAAATGGCCAAGGGTCGTAAGAGGAAAAGTGTCTGAAAAGAAAAGAAAGGCCTCAGAAGAGGAAGATATATCCTGGAATGCTTTCTGCGGAGAGCTCTCCTCCACAATACCTTTAATAAAAGTTTTAATTACCTTAAAAGCCTGAGGTTTACACTTGCACCTTAATCCTAGTTATCTTGATATACTGTATATACCTTGATATACTGTATATATATTGTTTATTCTTTTTGCACCTTTTTCCGCCTTGTTTGCGCCTTCTTTAATTATTATGCAAATATGTGACCAGTGAATTTCTCCGCTGTGAGATCAATAAAGCTCATCTAAGGTATATATCCCTGTAACAGGGATATTGTGATTGTTTTATCTGTGTAAGGTGCGTAATAAATATTATATATACCAGTGTTGTTTTTGAAAGCCATCTTAGTCTTAATCTTAGTCTCAGTCTTCAGGACGAGAACTATTCCTGGCCCGGGGTCTTTCTGCATGGAGTTTGCATGTTCTCCCTGAGCATGCATGGGTTCTCTCCGGGCACTCCGGCTTCCTCCCACAGTCCAAAAACATGACTGTTAGGTTGATTGGCTTCTCTAAAATTGTCCTTAGGTGTGAGTGTGTGCATTAATGGTTGTCTGTTCTGTGTGTCTCTGTGTTGCCCTGCGATGGACTGGCGACCTGTCCAGGGTGGACCCCGCCTCTCGTCCATTGACTGCTGTAGATAGGCACCAGCACCCCTCGCGACCCCACTTGGGACAAGCGTGTAAGAAAATGGATGGATGGATTAATCGCATTTTAGTCATTATGATATGTGACAGTTCGGTTTTAGTCAAATAAAACTTTTCCTTAGATAGAGCACTTTGAATCAATTTGACTATATGATCTGGTGAACTGTAAAGTACCTTGAGATGACATGTGTTGTGATTTGGCGCTTTGTTGTGTATAAATTGTTAAGTATAACTTAACAGTTAGGCCAAAAGATTGTTTTCTTTTTGTTAGTTGGCAGAGGATGATCAGCCACATAGTTTATTAAGTAGCGAGAGCAGGAAGAGCCATACTGCTGAGAGCGAACCATCAGTGTGGAGCGTAAAGCGCAGACTCTGAGCTATGCAGGTCTAAAGATGCATTTCTGCATCCATTTTCATCCCCTGCCGCTGCTGCCATGATCCATCTGTGGCCATGCAGAATGTGCAACACTACACACCAGGTGGGCTGCGTGACTAAGCAGGATACAGCAGCACAGCTGATAATGCTTAGCTGTCTAAATGATCACTGCGCAATTATGCATCTTAAACGTCTGACAGACAACCCACTAATTTGGATTTAGTCTTGTCTCATCTCGTTGATGAAAACTCAAACCATTTCATAGAGTCTCTAACCTATAGTGGAGTTGGGTTTCATTTGCTGGAGAACATTGTTTCACACCAGCAAGTCCACCTAGAAAAAACTGAAAGAAAATCTAAATGGAAGTCTTATAAGAGTTTGAACTTAAGCTGGAATGGGATGCAGGCAAATGAGAAACAAACTTTCTGTTTTTCACAGCAGTTGCTAATTCAGTGGTCCTTCCTCCCTCCATCCACTGTAATGCTCAGATTCTTACTTATGTAGACATGTGAACTTGTTTCCCTGTGCAAATAGATGCATAACAAAATCTGCATAACTGGAAATGTTTTAATTGCAGGTTTAAATATTTAACGCAGTCTTTTCTAATTCTATGGAGGGATTTAAAAAATGGTAGCTAAACTCAGACCTACTGTAAACCCTGTTGCAGACCTATTCTAAAACACATGCAATAACAATTGAATACTGTTTTATTACCAGATGTACTCAGTGTGCGTTTTTGTCTGCTGTAACTGCAGGCAAATCTAATTTCAGACAGGGAAATGTTTCTGGAATTTGCTGATATGTCACTATTGATGTGTTAACTTCATAAATGGTGCCGTAAAGACAAGTAGAATTCCTCATCGTTCGAGTCTTTACACTTCTTTATGTTGCAGCACATTTGAATAATGATTAGTCGTGTTTTTGCTCAGGGTTTTTTTCCTTCTTTTTTTTGTTATTGTTGATTATTATTAACAAATATTAGAGCAACATGAGTGTGTCCACACACTGCCTCTGCAGCAATACGTTTCTGTTGGCTCAGCATAACCAATGTGTTCAATATGCCCTCTTGTGGCAAACTACTGCCCCTACATGGCATTCAATTAATACACGGACATTTAAATGATGCTCACAGTGCCAAAGACATGAAAATCCTCTATTTGTACTTAACTATTTCCCCTTTTGTTAATTTAAATTGCAATAGAGTAGAATAATTACTGTATTTGTCCTTTTAAATGTTTTTTTTTTTTTTTTTTTTTACAAAAAACATGATTTTTAACTTCATTAAAAAATATATATACTGTATGTATTTAATTATTTATTTATACATTATGAAGTATTTATTTCATTATATAAGTATTTATTTCATTATACAGTTTTCTCTATTTTGTCCATTCCCTTTGGAACCGCAATGCATCTCAGCAGGTGACATCATAATTATTTTTCACATCTGTAGGGTGTTATTGTGCTGCAGATTTGGAAATAGAAACTGGAAATAGAAATAAAACTGATGTGGTGGTTGCTCGGGAATCCTGTTGTCTAGACAACAGCAGGGAGCAACTGATAAAAGTGATGGTTTTCTCCACACTTAAGAAAGTTTCCAAACTTTGAAAAAACTGAGACACATTCAGTTTACTCTTGTTGGTCATGAAGGTCTCTTTGGTCTTAAAGACCTCCATAGATCATGTAAGATTTAAAGGGAGGGTGCAGTTATGAATATCCACTTTAGGAACGCACCTAACCAATTAATGATCACATGTTTAAACTGCTTTCCTTTTATTTATCTATATTCCTCTTTTAATGTTTGATTTGATTAATTTTCTGCCAGTTTTCAATGCAGCTGTTGACATAGTAGTTTTTGGCCTAAATGGTAGACTACTTGAGAAGCTGGCAGCCATTTTGGTTCATTGGTGTTAATAGATTTTTTATTTCTTTAATGGGAAAGTTATGAAAGCAAATGAATGTACCCCACATTGCTAATCAAGGGGTTGGCAGATGTTTTTGCTAAAGCTATCAGTGCCATAACCCGACCAATCAAGCTCTAAATTGCTTCATCATTCTTATTCACACCCAACATTTCCGACCCAACAGCATTTTATTTGATCAACAATAACGCAAAGAGTTATTTCAGCCATTCTTGGCGCATATTTAACAAACCCACACTTAAATTCTAAAAGATGTAGAACATCATATTTCTGTTTATAACTCCTCACCACATGGCCAAAGAAAAAAACAACGCTATGCTAACTGTAAATCCCAGTTTAAAACAGAACTTTGAACCAACAGCAATTTAATGGTTTAAATTTGTTTTTTTAATGTTCCATCAAACATTATTCAATGTTATACTAAATCCAACAGCTGCATGTCTAACTGATTATTTAGCTTGTGTTTGGACTGAGTGTGTCCAGCGTGCCAGCGTCTTCAGAATGTGCTGTCTAATCTCAGCGGTTCCGATACCGTAGATTATTGGGTTGAAGCAGCTTGGTAACAACAGGTACATGGTGCTGAAGAACACACGGACAGATACAGGGAGGCCGTTCTTAATTCGATATGAGAGGAAGGCAGTAAGCGCCACTGTGAGGGTGAGAGTGATCACCATCACATGAGTCATGCAAGTGTGCAACGCTTTGGCACTGGTGCTGCTGGACCTCCATATGGAGCTGAATATCAGAATGTAAGAGACAGTGACGAATAGGAAGTCAAAAACAGGGATGAGGAAGACAGCAATCAAACCTAAAAGATTACTAATGGTAGTGCTTCCACAAGCCATCTCCACCAAGGCCATGTGCTCACAGAAACAGTGGTTCATCACGTTTCTGCAGAACGAAAGCTTTCCAGTCAGGCCCACAAACAGAGTGATGAGGAGCATATTTCTGACAGCAAACGGGATGATAAACTTCAGGAATCTCTCCAGCGCCATTACCTCATGGTAGTAGAGTGGCGTACAAATTGCAAAGTAACGATCCACAGCCATCCATACCAGGAAGGTGGACTGAAAAGCTCCAAAGAAGTGAATAAAGTGCATCTGAACCAGGCAGCCAATCAGAGTTATTCCCTTCCAGTCAAACAGGAAGCTCAGCAGCATGTTGGGAACAAAGAATACTGGGAGGCAGAGTTCAAGTAAAGCCATGCCTGCAATAAGGATGCTCATTGGTTGATGAAGGCTCCTCTGAGAAATGACCACATAGAGCAGCAGGGTGTTAGCCAGCAGAGCCACGATGAACATGAGGAAGAACGGGATGAAGAGGACCGGCCTCAGTTCCCCGAGTTCTTCAAAACCATTGAGGATAAACTGCTGGTGTGAGGAGACGTTCTGCATCTTCAGACAGTTAACAGCTTGGATTCAGACAGTCTGAAAACAGATACAAAACATTTGAAGACTTTGTAACTTCTGAAAGGACCTGTTAATAAATGATTGACTTAAATTAGGTGTATGAAGCGTTGAATTTATCTAAGACTTACAAAGTGATTGCCCTCCACGACTAATAATAATAATCTCTAGCTCTAGGTGCACAATAGAGCATTATCACAGATCCTTCCCCTCAGCTGCTGCAGTCATAATTAGGTTCAGAGAAGTCAAAGTCCCAGCAATCAGTGGGGATACTTTAATGAATACATTCAGCTAACAACTGAACAATAAGCTTAACAACATCTCTGACAGAGGAGGGATTCAGAAAAGAAGATAACCTTTTAAAAAATAGGGGGGGGGGAGACTAGCTGTTCTACACACTGACCAGAAGGGAAACAGAAGAACCCGTTGGAAGGTGAAATGTTATCTCAGATAGCTCAGATATGTACACACCTTTTATAAACACCACAAAAGGGAAAAGGGAGAATCAGCCAAACAAACACAACAGACCTCAGGTTAAAGACCATTTATCAAAACTGGAAAATAATGTGCATTAATTAGAAATATTAATATTACCACTTGTTTTGAAACATGTCAAACTGGACAGTAACAATCTTTGACAGCCCAATCAGAGCAGAGATAGTAAAAACTTTCTTCCCAGACTCTATAAAGTCCATTATTCTCCAGAGAGAAAAGTGGAAAACACTTCTGGTAGTTGTAAATCTTTACAGATGTGACGGTTTTACTTTTACATTGTCATAAAATTATCAGAGGAGTTATAAAACAAAGAGCACTATCTCAGACTTTTCAGTAAAGAAATATTTTCTAGAATGACCTGTGTTTGCAAGGACTTCAAGAACGAAGTGTACGGGATGGAGATGTTTGACAATACAGATTACCCTGTTTGGAGAAAGCCAAGCAGAACATAGCACGGACTGCTTGAATCAGTTGGTTGAGCGCAGTAGTAACTGGCTTGTAACCTTGGATCTTTGCAGTCCTTGATTTGACCCAGAACTTCTTTGTTTATCAAAGTTTTCAAGTTTGTAATGAAAAGACTGCCGTCCAACAGCTGTCTCCTGTCGCAAACTGGATCATCACTAAGAGAATGTATTGAATGAGTCAATGTCTGGACCTTTGTCTTAAATGCAGGGTTTGGTGGGACCTTCACAAACATTTGCAAACCCCTAAGAACAAAAGCATCTAATGCATTTGAGAGAAAAAAAACATTCTCAGCTCAACATTCATCAAAATCCGTTAAAGCGGGGGAAAAAATGAATCTGAATGTTTGCACCTAGTGGGCAGATACAACCTTGTAAATAATGAATTTAGCCAATTTCTTCATCATGTTCTTAACTTTGTTTTTTTTCTCACTACTTTCATTTAAATTTGAGTAAAGATTTTTTTTTTATGAATGTTCTAAACCACTGCAAAAAAAAAAAAATTATTATAAATAAAATAACCCTATACATCTTAAACTTCAAATGTTTTGAAATAATTAATAAAAATACTAATAAATGTGGTGTTCTTTTGTCTGAGACTGATGTATCATCTCTTCCAACTTTTTACAGCCCCAAAGACCTTTACTGCAACTAGAAACTAGAACATTGTAAACATAAGCTTTAACCACATGGCTAAATAATAAAAAACTAATGAGAAAACAGACACCAACACGATGATTATCACATTAAACAGTGTTTCAACAGTTTTACCTGTGGAAGTCTGATTTTGGAGAGAAATATTTCTTAAAATCCTTATGAGGTGGGAAAAACCCCTCTACAAAAGCAATATGAAATACACAGCAAAACCAGATTTAAAAATGAGTAAAGTTTTCATCAAGTAAGTGTACTTGAGCAAATGAAAAAGATTATTAGTCAATGAAATAAGACATTTGCCCTTAAAATGAAATAATTAGATTTTATGCATTTGAAATAACAGTCTTTTTCTTATTTGAAATGTAATTCATTTTTTTTCATTGGTGAGCAATTTCTTTACCTGCTTAAATCGTGGAAATTCATTTGAAAAAAAACAACAAAAAAACGATTTGAAATCTGAAGTTTAGGACCCAAATAAACATACACAGCTTAGGCATATTCCCCATATTCCCCACCTTTAAAATGTGAAGTAATCCTGCTTCATGATAAAAATCACATTACATTTATTTGTAAGAAGATCCTCTGACTGTGTTGAAAGTTTTGAGAAACTCGGGGAGATGGAGACAAGGATGGAAACCTGCAAGACCTCAGCAGGTGGAGTTCCAGGCAGGTCAGCTGAGTATCACAGATTTTCTCCCGGTTTATGGAGCAATGAGAAGATCTGGTGACGAATCTCTGAAGCTGTAACTTTATGGTTTCTATGAGACTCTGCTGGAGGCCCAAATCCCACAGAGACACAGTGCTGCACAATCACTCACAAAACAATAAGTGCACTCCTTAACTATAAAATAGGTGCGTTATGCATTCTTTGAAATTAATGTATTGATTAATGAATAAATTAAAATAAAACAATGAAAACAGGAGGTTAAGCTACATTCAAATCATAAGGCGACAAATAAAAAGATAGTGTCAGTGGCAGCAGACATCAGAGAAGCAGAAACCTTTGGGCCGCCATTGGAGAAGCAGGAACCTTGGAGGCCCACGTAGATGCAGTAAGACCCACAAAGAGTTGGTGCTGACAAGAAGCGCCCATGGAGGGGCCTTGGAGATAAGCTCTGCCCCAAGAAATGGTCCTACATTGATCACTGGTGTCACAGGATGGGAAACAGCTGGCTCAGGGGTCTCTAGATGGCACAAAGTGGGCTAACGGGTCAGTGGAGGGGGTACACACATACACTCACCGGCCACTTTATTAGGTACACCTGTCCAACTGCTCGTTAACACTTAATTTCTAAGCAGCCAATCACATGGCGGCAACTCAGTGCATTTAGGCATGTAGACATGGTCAAGACAATCTCCTGCAGTTCAAAGCGAGCATCAGTATGGGGAAGAAAGGTGATTTGAGTGACTTTGAACATGGCATGATTGTTGGTGCCAGAAGGGCTGGTCTAAGTATTTCAGAAACTGCTGATCTACTGGGATTTTCACGCACAACCATCTCTAGGGTTTACAGAGAATGGTCCGAAAAAGAAAAAACATCCAGTGAGCGGCAGTTCTGTGGGCGGAAATGCCTTGTTGATGCCAGAGGTCAGAGGAGAATGGCCAGACTGGTTCGAGCTGATAGAAGGGCAACAGTGACTCAAATAACCACCCGTTACAACCAAGGTGGGCAGAAGAGCATCTCTGAACGCACAGTACGTCGAACTTTGAGGCAGATGGGCTACAGCAGCAGAAGACCACACCGGGTGCCACTTTTTTCAGCTAAGAACAGGAAACTGAGGCTACAATTTGCACAAGCTCATCGAAATTGGACAATAGAAGATTGGAAAAACGTTGCCTGGTCTGATGAGTCTCGATTTCTGCTGCGACATTCGGATGGTAGGGTCAGAATTTGGCGTCTACAACATGAAAGCATGGATCCATCCTGCCTTGTATCAACGGTTCAGGCTGGTGGTGGTGGTGTCATGGTGTGGGGAATATTTTCTTGGCACTCTTTGGGCCCCTTGGTACCAATTGAGCATCGTTGCAACGCCACAGCCTACCTGAGCATTGTTGCTGACCATGTCCATCCCTTTATGACCACAATGTACCCAACTTCTGATGGCTACTTTCAGCAGGATAATGAGCCATGTCATAAAGCTGGAATCATCTCAGACTGGTTTCTTGAACATGACAATGTGTTCACTGTACTCAAATGGCCTCCACAGTCACCAGATCTCAAACCAATAGAGCATCTTTGGGATGTGGTGGAACGGGAGATTCGCATCATGGATGTGCAGCCGACAAATCTGCTGCAACTGTGTGATGCCATCATGTCAATATGGACCAAACTCCCTGAGGAATGCTTCCAGCACCTTGCTGAATCTTTGCCATGAAGAATTGAGGCAGTTCTGAAGGCAAAAGGGGGTCCAACCCGTTACTAGCATGGGGTACCTAATAAAGTGGCCGGTGAGTGTAGAAAGGACACTAATAGGACTCATTGTAGATTCTTTTTAGTTCTTGAAGCAGCTGGTTCTGCTGGATGGGCTGTGCCGCCTCAATTTCTAGCTGGATTTTACTGTAATAACTAACCAGGAACACAAAAAAACACAACAAAGGGGAACACAAAGTGAATTAATTGATTGAACTAATTGAGAGCAGGTGTGGGCAGAAATAGCTAGAAGGAATGTAAGGGAAAGGATGGAAGCACTAGGGGGCAGCAAAAAGTAACCAAGAAATGTAATAGGGCTTAAAAATAACTAGAACGTAAATGACTCCGGATGGAAATGGAACCAATTTCTTAGAAAATACAGTTCAATCTGAAAAACTCACATGAAGAGAAAAGACAATTAGGGGAAATTTATTGATACAAATACTTTGTCTTTGGCACTCAGACCTCAGCAGGAAACATAGCACTTAATTTTGATAGATATGCATGAACAGGAGCAAAAAATAGGGCTGTTTCCCCCACACCTAAAACTGGTGGTGGAGTGGAGATAGATGAAGTTGGTCAGTCTGTAGACTGCTGGTTAGCAAGCTGGTATGCTAAGTTTATGGGGAGATCCACTGGATTGTGTGGGTTGATATTAGAGCTTCACTCAGGGACCTGGAAGATGGAAGTCCAGTTGGATAACACAGGTTGAGAGAACCTTTCCATGATGAGCAAGCATGAAGCGACAGTGGAGAGGACAAACTCCCCATTGGGAAGAAACCTCTGGCAGAACCAGGCTCAACATGGTGGTCTTCTGCCAGACCGGTTGAGATGATACAGGGAACACAGTAAGAGTCCAGGAGGAATGACTCTCTGATGAAGCTTTAGCTACGATGTTGGAGGAGGGGTGGAGGTGGGTTGAAACGGTGTCATCTGAATGAAGTCACAGCGCATCCTACGCCCACGCACAGGAGCAGACAGGTGCGTATCGGAGGCCTTTTAAGATGAACTTTGGATGCCGATTGGCTTTCGTGGAGGTGTGGTTCAAAGCTGATTGGCTGTGTCACAGGTGGATGAAGGAGAGCAATGAGTTTCTTCAGTTGAACTTCCGCCTAGGCTTCATAATGACCTAAATCATTGTGTAAATGAATAACCAAAGTGAAAACTTGAACAGAACCAAAAATCCAAATCAGTAGATCATGACAATTTTACTATTTCCACCAAACTATAACAAAGTCCAGGAAAAGTGAAAGCACTCTAACTCATAAAGTGCTTTCCATGATAATGAAGAAACAATGTTCAATATATTTTGAGACAGAAAAAAGGAAAACATTGTGATGATCACCAAACATGGACTGGAAATCCAGGACAAGGACACTGGATGATAAACATATAAAGACAGATCTAAGAAATCCCCCTCAGGTGTTAGGATTCTTTTCTCCATATGCGTGCTTATTTCAATAATTTCTTTTTCATTTATTTTCATTTAATTGTTTTCATTGTGCTTATTATTATAAGGATATTTACATATGAGGTCATTATTTTCTATTAAAGCCTATAATTTATCCTGGTGTTCTTTGTACATTTAAACTATTTTCTGGTTAGATACTTCATTTGGTGACTGTTCAGCTATGTTCTGGTTAATTAGGTAACCCCCTCAGCTTCTCCACCTCACTTTTCTCAAGCTGCTTCTCATTTCCCCCGAATTAGGCCGTTTTATTTTGTTATCTTCTGTTTCTGTCACATTATATTAGCTTATTTGCTTCTCATTGTTCACTGATGGACCCTTCTTTTTGGTTACCTGGACTGTTTTCTTTTTTCATGCGTCCTTTCCATCTGAGATCATTTCTTTTATTCTTATAATAAAGTACTCAGCTTTGCCACAGTTTACATCTTTACATGTGAGAATGTCACCAAAAACAACCTTAACACAGATGAGAGAAATACCAAAGGTCAAACTTCTAATCAATGCAGCTCTGCTTCTGACTTACTCTTTATAACAGACCAATCCTGATCCAATCTGATTAAAATTAAAAAGAGAGATCATATCTCTCCTATCCTGGCTTCTCTTCATTGGCTTCCTGTTAAATCCAGAATAGAATTTAAAATCCTCCTTCTCACATATAAAGCCTTAAATGGCCAAGCTCCATCTGATATCAGAGATCTGATCGTTCCTTATGTTCCTAACAGAGCACTTCGCTCTCAATCTGCAGGTTTACTAGTGGTTCCTAGAATTTCTAAAAGTAGAATGGGAGGCCGATCTTTTAGTTATCAGGCTCCTCTCCTGTGGAACCAACTACCAGTTTTAGTCTGTCAGACACCCTGGTTATTTTTAACGCAAGGCTTAAAATGTACCATTTTGATAAAGCTTATAGTCAGAGTGGCTCAGGTTATCCTGAGCTATCTCTATAGTGATACTGCTGTAGGTTTAGACTGCTGAGCGTTTTCATCATTCTGCTTCATTCTGTCTCTATTCTACCACTCTGCAGTATTTATTTGTTAAATCTCTGATGTTATGCTCTTTCTGCTTTTTCTCATAGTAGCTTAATCTGGTCTGTTCCTGTTTGGCTGTGACACCATCCTGGAGGAAAACATCAGCTGTGCTGCTGCAATCAAAAACTTTGTTTATAGATGTTGGAGCTTGGCCTGTTTTTCAGTGTAGTCCTGTTTCTCTGACTGTGACTGGCTGGATGTGCTCTCTTCATTCTTAGACAGGGGAGCTGGCTCTAAGCTCATTTGC